AATGTTTTGCTCACCATCAGACCATTCATTGGATTAATGTGTCCTGGGAAAGGTGCTTATTGTATCTATCTGTGATTCCTCAATAACTAGCACGGTCCTTTCCCATTTGTAAGGCCTTAGCAAAGGTTATCCAGGCTGTTGGGAGATTTGCTGTCATCTCAATCCATGAGTTGTGCACTCTCTCTGAGATGAGTCAACCGCAGGGAGGATGGAACCAACCACTAGAAGTGTTCCCAGCTCCAATTTTCTGAATGTCTCCTCGTGGAGCTTAATCTTTGGTTGTTATTGACAACTGTTGTGACCACATTTGAGAGTGTGTGCAAGGAGCTGTGTGGAGAAGTATGGGGAGGCGGAGAGAAGACAAATTGGCAGGAATTATTTTAAAAGATGCCTGTTTTCCCAGTTACTTAAGTTTACCTGGTTTTGTCAACATCAAGAGAGGTGTAATTTTCTAGTTTTCAAAAAACAAATTATGCCTCAGCGGAAAGTAAATGTGTTATCATGGGTAAAAGGAAAATATATTGTCAAAATAATTGCTGTGGGAGATAGAATCCGGTTTCAGGAAACATTTTTCAGTTTCTTACAGGCAGAGAATAGTCTTATTAGAACAAACCAACCAACATCATTGGTACAATGGCTTCTGCTCTACTTTCTCTTTATCAGTTAAAGTTTCTAGTTCGGTGTGTCTTCACCTTTTTTGTGAATATGAGGACCCTGTTTAATACATTTTTTAAAATTGAGAACCTTGAAAGCTGGAAGTTGTACTTTTAGTAACTGTTAAAGGGAGAGAATATACAACAGTATTCCAGTTATCTATTGCTACTTAACAAACCGCCTCAAATCTAGTGGCTTAAAATAACATTGGTTTGTTTGGCTCATAAATTGGCATTTGGGCAGGGATTGGAAGGGACAGCTCACCTCTGCTCTGCATGGGGAGCTGAGGCAGCTTATAGACTGGGGGTCAGAATCACTGGAGGCCACAGGAACTCACACGACCAGAGGTCGATAGTGACTATAGGACCTCAGTTGGGGCCGTCATCCACAAAACCTATACGTGGCCTCTACCTGTGGTCTCTTTGCTTTCTCGTGGCATGGTGATTGAATTACAAAAGAAAGTGTCCCAAGAGGACCAGGTGTCATCTGTATTGCCTTTTAGGACCTTGGCTCAAAAGTCACATAGTTCATTTCTGCTCCAGTAACAAGCCCACCCAAACTTAATGGGTACGGTGTCAACACTGCATTCTAGGAAGAATGTATGGATCAGAGATATTGTTGTAGCCATTTGGAAAAATATGAGCCTCCACAAAGGGCAAAATGCTCACAATTTCAGTAATGCTTTAAAATGAACACATGAGCCTATCACCCCTGGCAATGATGCCTCAGGGTCTAGGGATTTCTTACTATAATTGGGCACCTCTGCTCCAGAACAGATACATGTAAAACACACTCTAATGGGGTCAAAGCAGTTGGCCATAGCTTGAGACCCTGACTATGCTATTTTTCCATCCATGGAGGATGAAACTCCTTGGTCTCTACTGTGCATACCTTCCAGCCCACTCCATATTCTGTTCATTCTGGTCTTCATTTAATCATTCTCCTATGTGTAGTTTATTCCTCATTCAGCCAACAGCATTTTTTAAATATAAAAATACATACCTATTCACAAAGTAACCCAATTCACAAACTAATTCTGGTTCGATCTGCCTACAGAAATAACAACAATAACATAAGCAGCTACAATTCTGAACACTTAAATGCCAGACACTGAGCTGAGTGCTTTACAGACATTAACTAAATTAACCATCATTGATATAATAAGGCAGTTCTGACGTTATCCTATTTTTTAAATTAAAAGAAAAAAAACCTGAAGTTTATAATTAAACTTACCCCAAATCTCAGTTGGTAAATTACAGACAAGTTCTCACAAAGATCTTGCTTTTCATCATTATGATGCCATGGGTTCCTGTACAGGATATTTAATGTAACATTCATGGACTTTCCAGAGCTGGACCTTATTTTTATAGTTTCACATGGTAACAGTTTTCTTTCACACCCATACAACTTATACAACAGTCATCTAGTATTCCTAACTATACACACACTTTTTTTCTTTGTTCATTTGCTTAATGTGTCTTTCTACTCTCCAATCAGCAAAATAGAAATTTCCTGCTTAAATGCCATCTTCTCTAGGAAGTCTTTCCTGATTTCTTCGGTTAAATGTCCCCTCCTCTGAATTATTATGACACTCAGTACTTTTCTCTGCTAAAACTCCCCTGAGGTCATTGAACTTATTTGTCTGACTATCTTTTCCAGAAGGTAATGAGGCCTAGGGTGTGCTGTTTATCTGTGAAGTCTCAAAGACTAACACAGCACTTTGTACCAAGTAGTCACATATTCTGTATGTTGGAACTTCAACTTCCTGCCCCGATGGTGGAACAGATACTACATTAGCCCTCTTTTGGTAAATTAGTTTAAACCTAGACTAATTATATAAAATAACTGTTTTCTGATGTTGAACCAAAGGCAGTGCAGAACTGTGATCTCTGAGAGGTAGGAAACAAACAAGATAATCCCCAATATTGTAATGGCTTTCTGTTTTAAGGCACTTTCCAGACCGTAGTACAGAGAAGGGGAGGCAAAACAGAACACAGTTGCTTAGCAGAGCTAAAATGATAGAGATTAGAATTTGGGGTTACTGAAGCATCTAGAATTTCTGGGACAGGGTAAGAGGGAGAAGGAAGCTATGTACAGAAGGAGCTCTAAAAATGTGCTTAAGGATCCCCTTGAGTCTTTGGCTGAATACTAACCTGTGTATGTGCAGAGAAAAACTGCATGAAGCTAGAGTGAAAATGTCTATCAGAGGAAACCAACTACTTGGAACTGCGAGTTAAACAAATACTAGATTTTGCATAAGGCTGAAAGATGTTTGCATTCTGACTAGCCACAGTAGAGACTTTGCTGAAAATCCCAGAAATTCAATAAAACCCATATAAAGGCAACACGTTAGGAATAGAACTAGCCTAACCCTAGGGTAATAGTCATTCTAGACAAACTATTTAAAAGACTCTAAAGAAAACTTGAAAGGACTATGTTGGTCCATGAGCAAATTAAATGCCTGCTGCAACAAAGCACTAAACTCTGTTATGAATAAAGATAAAATCCTTCAAAAATATAGTACCCATAATGTCAACCATACAATACAATTTACTAAGTATATAAATGAGCATAAATACCTGATGTATTTTATCAAAATAAAAATCAGAAAAATAGAATACAACCAAGAAATGGGAAAGATGATAAAATTTGCAAACAAGAACTTTAAAACAGCTATTATAATTATATTCAAGAATTTAAAGGAAATATTAACATAATGAGTAAAGAATAGTATTATAATTATATTCAAGAATTTAAAGGAAATATTAACATAATGAGTGAAGAATAGGAAATCTTCAGAAAGAGAAGGTTAAGACAAGTTTAATTCTAGAAAATGGAAGTTCTAGAATTAAAAGTTACATGATTTGAAATTTAAAAATTATGAGATTAACATCAATTAGGCAATGCATAAGAAAGGCTAATAGGGAATACCCTGGTGGTCCAGAGGTTAGGACTCTGTGCTTTCACTGCTGAGGGTGTGGGTTTGGCATCTGGTCAGGAAACTAAGATCCCACAAGCTATGTAACACAGCCAAAAAAACAAACAAACAAACAACGCTAATAAACTTGAAGACAGAACAATAGAGATTATGTACATGGAAGCACATAGAGATAAAATGCTGGGGGAAAGAAAAGTCTCAGGAATAACTGTCCTGTGATAATATCAAGGGATCTATTGTAAATTTAAGTGACATGAAAAATATAAGCCTACAGATATAAGAAACTCAGTGTACTTCAAGCAAGATAAACACACACACACCCCACACCACAGCCAGAGTGTACTGTAATCAAATCATTATAAACTGATTATGTGTTAAGTAAATGATAAAGAAAAACATCTCAAAAGCAGCTGGATGGAGTTGAGATGGGGAACATATTACCAACAGACAAAGGAACAACTATAAGAATTACCACTTGTGTCTCATCAGAAATAATTCAAACCAGAGAAAATTGGAACAACAGTCATGTCTTATAACTATTATTTCATAACATTTTTTAGTTGACAAAGTACTTTCCCACTCATACTTTCATGTAAGCTTTACAACATAACCCCATGAGACAAACAGGATTAGGAGTATTCTTCTCATTTTACAGGCGTAGAAAGTAGGCTCAGAGATGTGAATTTGCCCAACAGAGCTAGCACTAAATCCTGGTCTTCAAGGTACCCATGTTATCATCATTGCCATCACACTGACTGTATCTCACTTGGGTTGATCTCTGATATGCCTCTCCCTGTGGGCTGACTTTCTGGGTTTGCCTTCTAATTAAAACAGCCACGACACAACAATAATCCCCATTCCTTGCCAAATTCCAACTCCTAGTTTCCTGCCTTCCCAATTCTATGTTACAGCTCCGGACTCTGAGGAGCCAGAATGATCCCTTTAGCCCTTCCCAGGCAAGAAACACAAATGTGAAACCATGGTTTCTTAATCATAGATCAGCTGCCTCCTTGAGTGGTTCATCTGATTCTGACATACCCCAAATTCTATGTCATACACCAAGCTTGGGCCACTGTAACCCAACAGTCCTCCCACACGAAAGCTTAGCCATCCTCTCATTGGCTCCACCATGTCCCAGCTTCCAGCATGAAATAGAAAAGCTCCTATAAGAGTGACAGTAAAGTTAGTAACAGCAGATCATAGTTAAACTCCTCACATGTTGTCTGTGGGAAAGGAGCATCTTCCTTTGTCTAGTCTCATCCTCTAAATGCCCCATCACCAATCACAAAACTGGATTCACTCAGTATGTGTCCCCTAGAATGCTTTTCAGGACAGAATGAAGTTGAGAGGGTGTGATGCACAGATTTTACCAATTCATAAACCTGGAAGGAAACTTTTCACTTTACAGACACATAATCCAAGATTCTGAGAGAGAAGGTGGCTTGCAGATGGTCACCCAGTGAGCTGGCAGCAGGACTAGGACAAAGACTCTTTCAACTGCTCCCACAGTGTCTCTCCTTTCTCAGGTAAGTTCCAAGATGAGAATGCAATGATTTTGGTTGAGAGATTTTCTCTTAGATGAAGTTCGGATTGAAAGAGGAGAGAATTAGCTGCCCTCTGGTTGAACAAGCTCTATTTCCCAAGAGAAGACTCTACATTTATGTACTCCTGAGGTTTCATTCCTTTGAGGAGGTCTCATTGCATGCTTCTAACCAGCCACCCATTGTTTTCCCTTGGAAATATATTTGCTGTGTTCCTTTATATTTGCTTGAAATGTGGTTCTCACATATGCAGCTAAACCCTAAAGAATTTGCTGATTCAATTTCTAATTGATCTTTTCCAAGTGTTTTCTACTTCAGAGCCCTCTTCACTCCAATAAGGGTGGTGATAGGAAATTTAGAAGGAGTAAACTCAGTCTTGGGAACTTCACTGCATTTTTTTAAAAAAGAAAATCAGCACAACCTTTGACAAGCATGTCCCAAGGTTTAATTTCCCCTTAGAATGTCAGAGAAAGTCAGTGTAATGAGCATACATAAAGACTGTGGCCTTTCTTATAAGGAAATTTCAAGAGGGTCTACCAGCTGCTGGAAGGAAGCAGCACTTTGCTATGTGGCCAAACATACCCCTTGGCATTTCAAGAATCCTTTCTGAAGGGAGGGGAGAGACAGCTCATCTCAGCAACAGATCTGCTGCAGGCAGTAAGAGATCAATGGGGAGTTGGAATGGTGATTACTATTATTATTAGTATTGCTGTTGTCATTATTATGATCATGTTGCAAATTCACTTAATGGTAACAACAGGGTCTGGCCCCAAAAAGAGATTCTAAAAAAATGTAATCTCTGCCAAGAAGCCTCATTTTTGAGCCAGATATTTTTCCAGTACTCCATTCTCACAGTCCTCTGGTGCCTGTTGTGGGTATGTGTCTGTGTGCTCTGACCAGCCTGGCTAGATTCATGTTGATAAACTATGCACACAGAGGAACTGTGTAGCTCACATACACTTTACTGCTGCTTTTGATAAACCAGAGCCTCTTTTTAAGATAATGAGATTTATTGACATAATTATGCATATACTGCTGTCTTCTCAAATAGGATTTAGAGAACATAATAAGATGTCTGGTGTTGGAAGTGACCTCAGAGAGAAAACTACATAGTGCTCGAATTCTGCCCTTCAATCTCTTGCCCATTCTTGAATACTCCTGATGTTGGAGAACTCAGCACCTCTTAAAGCAGTCCATTACTGTCTAGAGAGTTCTGATAGAAAGTTCCTCCCAAATTAGGCATCTGCTAGTCACTTTCTTTCTCCCTTCAGAGAGCAGCATTCTCTGTACAGGAAAGCAGAGGTTTCTCCTTCTCTTTGCACATGGCTCCGCCCTCTCTGCAGGGCTCCCTAGCACTGGGGAGCTCTCTTACTGCTTCTGGCTTCTCTATGGTTGCCCTTCAGTTCCCCTGGGTGTCATCTGGAGTTCATGCTCCAGTAAACAGGCTGACGCTTAATACATCTCCCCAAAGCTTAGTGGCTTAAAACAAGATAGAATCATTATTTGTTATGATTCTGAGTGTTGGCTGGGGAGTTGCTCTGCTGGCACCTCCTGGGCTCCCATGGCTGGGTTCGAGGGGCAAGTTGGCATTACTCTTGTGTCTGACCGTTGGTGCTGTCAATGGCCTGGGACTCCTCAGTTCTCCATATGGCCACTCTTTCTTCACTAGGATAAACCGGGTTCTTAAGTGGTGGTCTCAGACAGTCTTCCGGGGTGAAAGGCCTCATCTTGAAAGTAGCACATTATTTCTGCCATATTTCTATTGGTCACAGCAAATCACAAAGGCAGCCCAGATGCAGGATGGGCAAACAGGCTCCGCCTCTTGATAGGCTGTGGCATGTTCTTCAGTCTACCAGCCGTCTTTCCGCTGGAACACACAGAAGGTACGTGTACAGAAGGTAGAAAGGAGAGATGGAGCACGAGGGCTTTCCCTTTCTCTCTTGACACTGTTCCTTCATTTTCTCAAGACCAGTATCTCTGGGTTTATGGTTACACAAAAATTTATTTTATAAAGGGTTTCAATGATTTGGGAAGATAATTAGTATAGAGAAAGGAACAAAGTATAATTGCAGCGAATTTGAATATTGCCTTAAATCTCAAAAATGAAGGATCTTAAAGACTTGTGAAGAGATCTTCTGTGGTCACTTTTCAGACTTTCATTCTGGATCCTTTATTTCAGGTTCAAGAGTTTCCTCTTCCCTCATATCAAGTGTCTCATGGTTCCAAGGTCGATATCCAAAAATTTCCACCTTCACTCCACTTCCTTTTAGGAAACCTTACTTCTTTTTGAAGGAAGAGATTTTCCCCCCTAGATTCTTTGCCCTTTCCTCATATAAAATGACTTAAGTTTTAATCCTATGGTCTTAGCACCCCAAACCCTCACTACAGTTGGTCATCAGCCAAATTTCATAGACAGGCAGTCACAAGATGGATGCTGGTTCCCTGGGGAAGTTGGAGTTTCCTTTTTTACATCCCCGTGTGAAGGCTGAGGCCGGCAGTTCCTGCTGACAGGGGTCTACTGAAATAAGATCAGATCCCAAGAACAAACATCAGTTGTGTGTGTGTGTGTGTGTGTATGTGTGTGTGCATGCACACGCATGCGTGTGTGTGTGTGTGTTTGTGGGGAAACTGGGGATGGTTTGAGTAGAGTGGTCTTTTCTGAATTAAAAATGGAGTTCTCTATAACACAGGAAACTAATTCAATATTCTGTAATAAACCATAATGTAAAAGAATATGAAAAAGTATATACATATATATTCAGTTATATATGTATATAAAACTGAATCACTTTGCTGTACACCAGAAACTAGCAAAACACTATAAATCAACTATATACTTCAATTAAAGAAAGACACCATTAAGTATACTGGAAAAATAATCTACCACTGGTAAACCAACAACAACAAAAACCAAACCAAAATTACGACAAAAAAATGGAATCAGTGGAACCTCCATTACTAAATGAGAAGTATTTGGTTTCTCTCCTGCTCAGTCTTGGTCCCTGCCAGAATCATAATAGCTGTGCCCCAGACTCTTAATTCAGTGGTCCCTACCCCCAGCCACACATGCACACAAACACACCTCTGAAGGGATGTGTGACCCCTCTTACTATATATTGGAAGAAATCCACCTCCTTTTCTCCTGAGGACACACAGACAATTCATTATTTTTTTAACACCTTTATTGGAATATAATTGCTTTACAATGGTGTGTTACTTTCTGCTGTATAAAAAAGTGAATCAGCTATACGTATACATATATCCCCATATCCCCTCCCTCTTGCGTCTCCCTCCCACCCTCCCTATCCCACCCCTCTAGGTGGTCACAAAGCACCGAGCTGATCTCCCTGTGCTATGCGGCTGCTTCCCACTATCTATTTTACATTTGGTAGTGTATATATGTCAATTTTACTCTCTCACTTCGTCACAGGTTACCCTTCCTCCTCCCCACGTCCTCAAGTCCATTCTCTACGTCTGCATCTTTATTCCTGTCCTGCCCCTAGGTTCATCAGAACCTTTTAATTTTTTTTAGATTCCATATATATGTGTTAGCATATGGTATTTGTTTTTCTCTTTCTGACTTACTTCACTCTGTATGACAGACTCTAGGTCCATCCAACTCACTACAAATAACTCGTTTTTTTTATGGCTGCGTAATCTTCCATTGTACATATGTGCCACATCTTCTTTATCCATTCATCTGTCAATGGACACTTAGGTTGCTTCCTTGTCCTGGCTATTGTAAATAGTATTGCAATGAACATTGTGACACATGCTTTTTTTAAGTTATAGTTTTCTCAGGACATATACCCAGTAGTGGGATTGCTGGGTCGTATGGTAGTTCTATTTTTAGTTTTTTAAGGAACGTCCATACTGTTCTCCACAGTGGCTGTATCAATTTACGTTCCCACCAACAGTGTAAGAGGGTTCCCTTTTCTCCACACCCTCTAGAGCATTTATTGCTTCTAGATTTTTTTCTTTTTTTTTTTTGCGTTACGCGGGCCTCTCACTGTTGTGGCCTCTCCCATTGCGGAGCACAGGCTCCGGACGCACAGGCTCAGCGGCCATGGCTCACAGGCCCAGCCACTCTGCGGCATGTGGGATCTTCCCGGACCAGGGCACGAACCCGTGTCCCCTGCATCGGCAGGCGGACTCTCAACCACTGCGCCACCAGGGAAGCCCCACTTGTAGATTTTTTGATGATGGCCATTCTGACTGGTGTGAGGTGATATCTGTTTGTAGTTTTGATTTGCATTTCTCTAATGATTAGTGATGTTGAGCATCCTTTCATCTGTTTGTTGGCAGTCTGTATATCTTCTGTGGAGAAATGTCTATTTAGGTCTTCTGCCCACTTTTGGATTGGGTTGTTTGTTTTTTTTATATTGAGCTGCTTGTATATTTTGGACATTAATCCTTTGTCAGTTGCTTCATTTGCAAATATTTTCTCCCATTCTGAGGGTTGTCTTTCAGTCTTGTTTATGGTTTCCTTTGCTGTGCAAAAGATTTTAAGTTTCATTAGGTCCCATTTGTTTATTTTTGTTTTTATTTCCATTTCTCTAGGAGGTGGGTCAAAAAGGATCTTGCTGTGATTTATGTCAGAGAGTGTTCTTCCTATGTTTCCTCTGAGAGTTTTATAGTGTCTGGCCTTACTTTTAGGTCTTTAATCCATTTTATTTTTATGTATGGTGTTAGAAAGTGTTCTAATTTCATTCTTTTACATGTAGCTGTCCAGTTTTCCCAGCACCACTTATTGAAGAGGCTGTTTTTTCTCCATTGTATATTCTTGCCTCCTTTAACAAAGGTAAGGTGACTTGTGAAGAGAGTGTGGGTTTATCTCTGGGCTTTCTATCCTGTTCCATTGATCTATATTTCTGTTTTTGTGCCAGTACCATACTGTCTTGATTACTGTAGCTTTGTAGTATAGTCTGAAGTCAGGGAGCCTAATTCCTCCAGCTCCGTTTTTCTTTCTCAAGATTGCTTTGGCT